CAAACACTTTTTATCACAAAATTTTGACATGAAAGATTTAGGTCAAGCTGATTTAGTTCTTAACACTAAAATCTTGAAAAATGAGAATGGATATGTGTTGTCACAATCACATTATATAGAAAAAATTCTTAAGAACTTTTATGATCCAAACTGTAAACATGTTTCTACTCCATATGATCCTAATGTACATCTAAAGAAAAATACAGGTTATCCTCAATTACAAAGAGAATATGCACAAATAATTAGATCATTAGGATTCCTATCAATTACAAAGAGAATATGCACAAATAATTAGATCATTAGGATTCCTAACAAACTACACAAGACCTGAAATTGCTTTTGCAGTAATAGACTTAGTAGATATACATCAAATCCTGATAAGAGTCATTGGGATGCTCTAGAAAGAGTCTTGAGATACCTAAAAGGAACTATAAATTATGGTTTACACTATAAAGGTTATCCATCTGTACTAGAAAGTTATTCAGATGCAAATTGGATTAGTGACGCTGTAGATGTAAAATCCACCACAGCATTTGTGTTCCTTTTAGGAGGAGGAGCTGTCTCATGGAAATCTACTAAACAAAATGTAATGGCTAGAAGTACAATAGAATCAGAAATGATAGCCATTGATACTACTAGTATAGAAGCTGAATGGTTAAAAGATTTACTAACTAAAATTCCACTAATGCAAAAACCATTACCAGCTATCTCTATTCATTGTGATTGCAGGTCAGCGATTGACAAATACCATCAAGAGAATGCAGATGTGAAAATGAATCGACACTTGAAAGTGCGACACAAATCTTTGAGATATAAAATGAAAAATCATATAATAGTTTTAGACTTTGTAAGATCAGAGAAAAATCTTGCAGATCACTTAACTAAAGGCTTATCTAGGGCAGTGGTCCTAGAATCATCGAGAGGGAGGGGGTTAAGCCCATAAGAAAAATCACTGCAGTGGCAACCCAACCTCACAGAGATTTAATGGATAGAAACAAACTGAATGAGTGATTAATTGTGAGGAGCACTGAATTTATTTGCTCCCATCCTAGGGTGATCAATGCTCATAAAAAGAAAGTGATAGGTTGAGTCTAACTCTTAATGAATCCAAGACCCATGAGGCAGGATGCTTACTTGCTCGCATCCTTATTAGGATTCACCTATATGTGTGTAGTTGTGAGGCCGCGACTATGGGATCAGGGCTGCTCCCTAGTAACACACATGAAAGATACCTGCGCAAGGCCAATAATAGCGCAACCCGTTTAGAATTCTTCAAAACTGTACTATGTGAGCTTTCTGTAGAAATCTGATAAATGAGACTAGTTCAAGGCGTAGTCCACCAAGCTCTCACGGATCTATACAACTGTCACTAAGTGAAGGTTCAAACCGGAAGGTACCTCCACCTATTACATAATATAAGGGAACCAACAATCTTATTTATTTTTAAGTTCTTCTTTTACTGTTATTTCTGAATTATTTTAAGTTTTAAGTTATGTGGGGAATTGTTGGAGTTATAATAAAGATAACTTAAAACTTGACTTTGTAGAGGAAAAGAGGAAAAGTTTAGTTCCACATAGGAAATGGAATAGGAAGAAAGAATCTTTATAAGCCTTCCCTTTCTCTCCTATGCCTAGGAAAAAATAAAGGTTATGCTCCACACCACACACGCGTGCGCCGGCCGGTCCGGGCTCGGGGTCAGGTCAGGTGGCGCGCGCACACGACCTACGGACACGAATGCCGCTTCGGATTAATGAGCCCTTAATCTGCTATATTTTTATTTTTAAATAATTAAAATATAATATTTATTTTTGAAAAATTAACATGTGATAAACATTTTGTAATGGTTAGGATTAAATATTTTGTAACCGTTATAATTAAAATACCACGGATTTATGGATTTAAATGACAAAAAACGGCTAACGTTAATACATTAATGAGTGAGTAATTAAAACGTGTTAATTACGAGATTTATGAGTAATGGTTGTTTTTCCCTATAAAAGGATCTAAAATCCGAAGAGTTTAACACAGCGAAATACAACAAGCTCTTCTTCACCTTCTCTGTTCTTCCTCTTGAATTTACTTACTGTTACGATTTGCTGGTTCCCTGAAAGTGGTGAAGAATTCGCAAAACCTTCTTGAAGCTCGTGCCGACGAGAAGGAGGTCGCCTGACCGAGGGTCGTCGTATCTCCGAGATCTTTTGCCGCGTAGCCCTGTACGAGAGGGGGCAATTATTTTCTTGGGACAGTGCTTTGCACGCTTCGATCATCAGGCCGTATTTCTAACTCTATTTATTTTTCATTTGATATATTTCTTATATCTGTGTTATAATAGTGATTATCTGTTAATTATTAAATTGCTTAAACTGATTTTCGTTATTGTCTAAACAGCTAATATTCCTAACAAATTGTTGGATAACAGGTTCCTAATATGTTTTCTAACTTGTTTTAGTAACAGGTTATTAGGATTCCTAATCTGTTTTAGTAACAAGTTATTAAAATTCCTAATTTATTTTGGTAACAGGATTCCTAATCTGTTTTGGTAACAGTTTATTAGGATTCCTAATCTGTTTTGTTTTTGGTTTTAGAATTCCTAGTATGTTTTTAGTTTTAGAATTTATATATATATATATGGAACGGTTTAGAAGAGAGAATTAGAGAGAAAAAGAGTCTTTTGAGCATATTCAGAGGGAGATATTGTGAGGGAGTTGAGATCTTTGTTTAGGGTTATATTTGTAGAACTACATAAATTCTCTGTGTTTGTGGTTTGATTCGTGCCGTATTTTAGTGAATTACACTTGTAATTTCTCCTCCCATTGCTCGCCAACTCGTTTGGTTTGCGAGCACGCTTCCGAATAACGCGCAATAATTAGATGACTTCCTCTCATTACGATAGGCAATCTTCATATATAATATGTCAAAGTCTGCCTTCTGGATTCAGAGATATGTTCATTTTTTTGCGGACAAGTCAATAATTCATCTATATCCATATTTGACTTGTGAAAGGTCTCACTTCTCCATAAATTTGCTCATTATGCATCCTATATTAGTTTCCTCTTCTTGAAAGAAGCTCAACAATATAAGCTCAAATAGTATCTTGCTCGATAAATATTTTTCTTCTTTTGTATTGATCAACATCTGTCTTATATATAACATTGATTTTCTTTATTTATTCTTTTACCTTCTCGGCTAGGACTTCTTCTGAATCAAATTTATGTTGACCCTATAGTTTTGATGATGATTTGTCAAACAATTTATAACTAATATATTCTCTACTTTTGTGTTTATGTTTCTCTTTACAGGTATTTCAACACACGTCAAATCAAGCGTTAAAGATTTAAGTTCATATATGTGAATTTACCTAGGTATAAGTTTAGTATACTTACATATATTGTATGATTATATCTAAGCTCAATATATGTACACTCAACACGATTTTTGACGTTTTCTATCATAAAAATGATCTTTCATCAAACGTTGTTAAAATATCTTTTATCTCATGTTTACAGCTCTTTCATACTTCATTATATACATATAATACATGTATAAGATATATATGCATCTACAAGCCTTATGTCAATTTTCACATTCACGAAAAACAGGTTTTCTGAACACTTTTCAAAAACAGGGAGTTTTCACAAACAAAAATTGATTTTCCAAAAATTCCTTTTCAAACATATTTATTTCATCATTTAGAAACTTTCCCCAAAGTTTCACTATTTTTGGTTTTGATTTGATATTTTTAATGAATTTTCAAAACAGCCCTAAAACCTATCATATATGCTATATGTCAGTTTTCGGTCGACTGGTGCGGTCGACCGCCAATTGTATTTTCCTGAGCTCAGTTGTTTTGTGCTCGCGGTCGACCGCACCGGTCGACCGAGAGAACCTCCAGAGACTTTTCCGGTCGACCGAAAATACCGGACCGGTCGACCGCCGAGTTGTCAGAACTTTTGCAATGGCTAGTTTTTCTAGCTGTTTTCAAATTGGGTTTTTGGTCTTTTACTTATTTTTTTTGCTGTTGTATTGTGGTGCTATATATACCCCATTGCTGCTCTTTCTTGATATATCTAAGAAATCCAAGTTTTGTGTTTAACAAAATCTTAAATGTGTTTAAGAGCTGTTTAAAAGTTGATTTCATCAATCTGTTTTCAAGAGAAGTTTTTCTACAACAAGAAGTGGCCTTCAAATCCTATTGGGATCTTCATCTACTGTTCTTCTTGTTTGAGAAGTCTTCTAAACTCTTATATAGCTTGTTATTTCATTTTCATTTCATTTAGCTATATTTATTAAGTTTCATTCACAGTTATCACACACACTTATTGAGCTTAATATTGTCATACCATATAGTGAGGGTTGTGGAGTGTGATTTAGTGAGTGTGAGCTTTATTGTGTTCTCACTTGTTATTTGAGAACAATTCATTGCATTTAACTTTTATTTATAAGAATCACTTGTAATACACTTGTACACCGAGAGAAGTGTGAGGCGAGAGACGGGGTCGAATCCAATAGGAGTGGCGTCGATTGACGAACCTAGAGAGAGGTCATAATCGAGCACTTGAGGAGGAGGACACGGGCTAGGTTCCTACACTTAGTGTGTAAAGTGTGATTGCATAGTGTTTGTGTAGTGTGAGAGTTTTCGGTGATCTTGTAAACCGAGAGTGTAGAAGTTCCGGCTTCCAAACCGGATTGTGATAGTGGATATCTCCTCGAGGTGAGGAGCGGGGACGTAGGTCGTGGTGACCGAACCTCGTAAACATATCGTGTGTTTGTGTTTTGCTTAGCGTATATTTTATTCATCATTATTATTCATATTCATATCATATTTTTTCTTACAAGAACAAATTGATCAACATAACTTTAATTAGCTTTTAATTGGAATTAGATTAGCATAAGACCCTAATCACCTCCACTCTAGGGTCTAACAATTTATGTATAAATATTTTCCACATCACGTGTATTTTATTGGTGGCATATAGATCTACAGTTGACTTGAAAAACTCCTAAAAATATATTCCATGTTGCCTCTCATATTCTAGTGCTAAAAGCATCATCTTAATATTCTTGACATTATTCACAACATTTACATCCAAAGAAGAAAATTCTCCCTCATACTCCATACACAACTCTTTCATCTCCTTTGGTTCGAACCCTCCACCAAGCAAGTCATGAATATCATCAATTGCCTCATTCGTTATTATGTCCTTCACCTCCATCGAGACAACGTTAATATGTGTAATATCACTCATAATATCTTTCGGGATATCATGTATAATATCCATCATCACTATCATATCATCATCAGCATCATGAATCTCATGCATAACGAGTATTTGTACCTTAGGAGGAATTTCAGTAGTGGTCGATTCTCAGTTACAACCAAGTCATAGACCTCTTCAAATTGTTTCAAGTATTCTTCTGCTAAAGCTTCATTATTTGCCACCAAAAATCTCTTCTTCTCAGTTGTCTCTATCTTGGATGACTACTTTCTGTAAGATGTATAAGTGCAATTCGATGTCCATCTTTATTGAATATATAAGCATTTATCTCTGCTCTTGTATGTGGAGCCAACATCGAACTGCCATAGCCTACCTAAAAGCATATGACGAGTATTCATCTTGACCACATTCTACAATACTTCATCGACATAGTTGCGACTGATAGAAAAATAAATCTGACACACATCATCGATCTGCATATCATTGCCCTTTACAAATCCAGTTGATCTTGAAGGGAGTAGAGTATTTCTCTATCTTTAAACCTAACATCTCTATCATATGCTGAGAGACAAAATTCTCACTACTGTTGCTATCGATGATAATATCATAAGTCTTTTGCATCAAGGTACATCTCCTATAGTACATCTCCTACAGATGATATTGTGCTTTTGAGTTGATTCTTTTTTCTTTGTTGCTTCTTCAATGCTCTTTACAATTCTGTGTTCTTGCTTAATTAATCTCTGCATGATCATAGTTAGAGTGTGAACTTGGATATCGTTTGAACACATAATAATAGGTAGGAAGAAAATAAGCTTTCAACAATTCCCTCATCTTCATCCATGATTAGATTTTTTTTATTTCTATTGATGGGCTTGATCTTCGCATAATGATTGCCGCGAAAAAGCTGCTCACCCTTAAGTTAGTAGGTTATTCGCTCAACCTTCTGATTTTATGTAATTCCTAAGTACTCGAAAAATCACTCTACCTCATCAATCCAATCAAGAAAATTATCTACGTCAAGTTTCCCATTGAAAGAAGTAAATCAACCCTCATAATTGCAATATCATATAATATCCCATCTTGAGTAGTTTTGATAACTATGGTTTCAGTGTGGGGTTTCATACTTATCGATGTCGTCATTGAATTCTTTCTACGGAGTCTAATAATGTCTTTAGTCACCATCAACGCGATCTCAAACTCATCTCGGGTTTAGACGCTCCACTATCAATGCAAGTCGGTCCACGCGAGCGTTAATATGAATTTACGTAATAGGGGCTTCATTGTTAGTCATCAAATCGGAGAAACATGGCTCGGATACCAATTAATATAGTGCAAAAGTAAGAATCATTGGAATCCGCAAATGGGCGTTTTTTGAATACACAAAGATCAATCTTTGAATCTATGAAGATACAACCTCGAATCCATGAAGTAATTTAAAAGAGAATGTTATTGAAGAAAAATTATATGTTATTTTTAAGACTACATGTCCCTTCTTAAATAGAAAAATAAAATAGACTTCTAATAGAAAAATAACATAGACTTCTAATATAACTAGAATTATAAAGAAATAAAAAGTATCAAATACTATCCTAAAAAGATTTCCTACAATAGAGAAAATAAATCATGAATCAAAATTAAAAATTTTAATCTAAATTACCTCCAACTTTATTACTGAAAAAAATAAAAGCTGATTAATATCGGATTTCTGCTAAAAAAATTGTGATACTGATGCAATTTTAAAAAATTACCAATCTAGATAGCTTCGTCTCATCGAGATATATATTAGAATTCGCCTTCTGGAATGGAAGATATGGTCGTTTCTTTCTGAGCAAGTTAATAATTCATCTGTATCTGCATTTGACTCATGAAAGGTCCCACTCCTCCATGAATTTGCTCGTTATGCGTCCTATATCACTCTCTATATTGTTTTTTGTATAGATATTTTTCCCCCTTAATTAATTAGGTCACATTTTGCAAACATTTGACTGATAATGGGACCCAAAACCTAGGGAAAGTGAGCGACTGGGGATTGGGACCACAAATTTGCCATTAGCTGCGGACACACATATTGACCTACAGCAATTATTGACTTTGGATTCAAATATGTGCATGATATCGACGTGAATTTTCTATTATCATTTGAAGGAAATTTGGTAATAAGGGATGTGATTATTGTTATGAAGTGGTTAATCAAGCTTCCTTAATAGGTTATTATGATGTTTTGATGAGTTATGCTAATCAAGTTTTCAAAATGGAATTTAGTTAATTTATCTAGAAGGAAATATAAGTAAAGAAAACTAGAAAAGGGTTTAAGTTTTCATTTTTCCCCCTTCCAATTTCTTTACCTCTGCATTAAACCGTGTCATTAAGGTTCTCCATTTTTAAAAATAATATATCTAGGTTTTATCAATTGAACAAATAACACGTTCTATTATCATATATATATATACTATATATATATATATATATATATATATATATATATATATATATATATATATATATATATATAATATATGAGAAATAATGGGTATGCCTTGGTAACCAAGCACAAAAGTTGCTGCTTGGTAGTGAGGTGTCACATCTCCCTCCACTCATTCAAATATGGGACCACATTCAAATGGCGTAATGATGTGGATGGAGATGCTGACACATCACTACCAAGCCACAAAATTTATGCTTGGTACCAAAGCATACCCATATATATAATATATATGATATTAATATTAATATTATATATATATATATATATATATATATATATATATATATATATATCATGTGTAAATGCACATGATTAAATATAAATATTATTTATTTATTTATTTTCTTACTATAAAATAAGTCAAATTCATTTTGAGTTAAGATCTATAAACATGGATTATTATATTTGCCATAAATTTTATTTAAATGTTTTTAAAAAGTTTATAAAATAGATTTGTGTGTTAATTAAAGAGGGATCAATATACTTTTAGATACTTACATACACAACATTATTTTTTTTAATTTGTATATATCAAACTTCATGTAACATATTTGTTTATTGGATCAAATCATCGATCTCTAATTTGTTTATCTTAGTCATTAAATATAGTATTAAGTTTGAAAAAATATATTATATGGTTTGTATAATCTCACCACAGAGCACATACTTTTCACAAGACTGTAGATATCTTAATTATTAATAAATTTAAAATAAAAAATAAATATTAAAGATTAATGATAACTCTAGTATTTTATATGACAAAAGTATTCACATAAGCATATTAAAAATTTTGCTAACCTAATTTTACTCAAAAAATTAAGCTTTACTATAAAATATTCAAAAAAAATTGTCTTTTATTCCTTCTTGTTTCTTATTTAATTGAGCCGAGATCAATCTTTCTCCATATTTATCTTTATTCTTATAGTATTTCTACTCTCTTTTGGTTTTCTAGACTAGTTTGGATGTAAAAGAAAAATTTTAAATTATCTAATCTGGTTAAAGTAGGATCATATAAGTTAACCCCATACGTGAAATTTATTTTAACCAAATCCTATATGTAAGTATTACAATTAGCATTGAGTTCTAAGATACGTGTGAGATTTTTTGATTTTTTACAGATAGTATCTATTTAAATAATAATAGTATAATTAAACCTAGTGATATGAAAAAGGATCAAACATATAATATAATTAATTGCTTTAAAATAATCTAATATAATCTAATAAAAAAGATAGATAAAAGTAATGTAAAAATTATTGTAATTATATAATTCATAATTTTTAACAATCTAATCTAATCTAATGAAAAAATAATAATAAAGGTACACACCTGTTGAAGGAGATGAAAGTGCTGTAAAAATTATCATAATTTCTTGATCTGAAAAAAGATCAAACATTTAATATACCTAATTGCTTTAAAATAATTTAATCTAATCTAGTAAGAAGAAAATAGATAAAAGTACTGTAAAAATTGTTGTTATTTCTTGATATGAAAAAAGATTAAATATATAATATAATTAATTACTTTAAAATAATCTAATCTAATCTAATAAGAAGAAAATAATAAAGGTACATACCTGTAGAAGGAGATGAAAGTACTATGAAAATTATTATAATTTCTTAGCTTAGTATGTGATGTTGCATGTAAGAGGATAACAATTGTAAATAGAGTTCTATTAAATAATAATAGTATAATTAAACTTTAAAACTAATTATGCACTACTGTGAACTACTTGAATTTTAGTCGGTGAGAGATCACCACATTGTGTCCTCAAATCACAACCATTTGTTTTAATTTTTGTTTTTTTATAATTTTAAGAATGATTTTGTCTATTTAATTTGTTTGGTGGATTTTGCAGATACATTGTCCGTATTATTTACATTTGTAGGTCTGCACTACTCTTGGATTCGACCTTTGGGATAGACATTATTTTGCCTCGTTAATTTGTTTGGTTTATGCATATACGCCATTCATCTTGTATACATTTATAAACTTGACATTTAATAATTTTATTCAGATTTTATATTTTAATTTAAACTATATCATTATCTTTATACTATGTATATCCCATAAGAATTCATCAATTTATCAACTTACTCTTACTTAATGAATTAATATTTGAATTTCAAGGGTATTTTTGTTTACCAAAAGATTTTTCTAAACTCATGCTTTTAAAAGGGAGTATGATATATGACATCATTTTATGCCTTTTGTCGCCCAAGTCACCGAATGCGGTAGTCTAAACTTCAAACCTTTTTTTTATTAAGAAACCTTATCTTCTCGGCAATTGGCCTACTATTCCTGCATTTTATTTTTTAATCACTAGTATGTAACACATGCTTTGCATGTAATGTATATTAAGTAATGATATGAGACTAAAATATTCGAATGTCATCAAATAGTGCACTCATCACAAATTTATTTAGAACAACAACAAAGACTCAAATAGAGCCCCTAGCCACCTACTCGCCATGAATTTATTGATATTTATATTAGTTTTTCTCTCCACAAATTTACATACTTTTATAACTAATAGATTGATTTTTTTTCATAAATTGGAGATGAAATTGATCATAGATTTGTTCATTTCTGCAAAGAAAAGAAATATAATCTTCTCTCT